TAGTCTTACAATGCGTGCATTACACCAAACAAAACATAATGACTATAGAAAACCATAGATACATATTGCGATTTTCAAACTCTATTTTAATGATCAAGTTGACTGCTAAAACCCATTAAGCTGTGTTCAGATTATTTTAATATTTCCTTTCATATATGAATTCTCTTATTCTGCCCAGGCCCTCACTTCTCTTGTTAAAGCACAAAAACAATTAGTACAAATTAACATGAATAATGACATTCACGCACATTGCCATACATTGCCGTAGCTAAGAATTTTCCATCGTTTGGAGGCCCGGGGGCTTGACCTCATTGGGGGCCCCTGCATTTTGCATATATTTAATTTGTTAATGTAAAAAACACTCAAGTGGGGGCCCAAGGGGTATTTTCCAATTTCCCCCCTTCTCCCCCCACCCTAGCTACGCCACTGTTGCCATATATAAAGAAAATACATTAAATTATTTTAAATGACTTAAGATGCAGATATTTCTTTTTTAATGCTATGGTACAGAAGTGTTGTTGTCTCCTAGACTGGGACCTAGACCCCTTGTTTTATGGCATTTGGTAGGCCACCTGCTTATCTAAATTTGCATTTTTAAAAATTAATTCCGTTCTGATTTTTTTTTTATTGACATCTAACTATAGTGAGTTGGAGAGGGAACACGAAATTAAGATAAAATTCAAATTAAAGCAAAGCAAAATAGCATTTAATAGCATTCAATATTACATGTATTTTGGGGCAAAAACAACTTTTAAAAACTTTTTCAATGGCTGGTAAAAATAATTTTTTTGAGCATTTGAAAGTATTTCAAATCTTTATCAGAATCGACTCAAATGATGGTTTCATTGTGTTATTATATGAAACTTTATTGCATAGAAGACTTATTGGCTATTTCTTGTTTGTCAAAGAGTGAATAGAGTGGAATTTGAAATAATCAACACTGAAATTCTACATTTCTTTTAGCTTTCAAATGTGGTCATGTTAAATATTAGGTTACATCTATACATAATTAGGTTATTGAAATAAGTTACTAAAATAAAAATAAAAAATTTTTTAATTGGTACAGGAGGATTAAAATTTGAATAATTGCTTAAGGAACAAATCATATGTCTAATTGTCATTCTATTAATAGGAAATCTTTATTGAATTCATGACTCGTTAATCATTTAAATGAGAGCCACCATCATAGGCCCCCTGTTTAAATCTCATAGACCCCTAATTTATTGTTTCTCTTAAATAGACCAATTGAAAGTTGTTGTAGACCCCTAAGGGTCTATATAAACCACTTTGGGAAATGCTGTTCTAAAGGAATCCTAAATAACATTAGATTTTATTATTTCTGTGATTTCTGTCAACAAAAGGCCATATATATATATATATATATAAATATATCTATTGCAATTCTAGTTATTGTTATGAATGAAAACATTTGTGAAGCTTATAATACTTTTATATATATATATTTATACATAATATTAAAATTATTGTAAGGCTTACTACTTTGATATATATATATTTGTTTTTTTATGTCCTATTATGTCGTACTTTGATTGAGCCATTGGAACGTTAACAAGTCTGATTCATTCAGATCTAAGTTAAATTTTTTTTGGCATGTATATATCTTTTGATGAATCTCTCTGATCTGGGGTTATGATGTCATTGGTAAATACCACTAAAGAAATCACTATGATCTTTGGTAGATTATGCTTGAATTTGTATATTTATTTATGAATCCGTATATATCTATTATTGTGATACCAGTGATATGCTCTTCTATTGAATCCCTCAGATCTATGTATAATTATGATACAGCAATAAGTTCTACTTTCGACTAACAAATCTGTGTGTAATTATGATAGCAGAAGTGCGTTCTACTCTTGAATCACTCAGATCTGTGTACAATTATGAGAGCAGTAGTGCGTTCTACTCTTGAATCACTCAGATCTGTGTACAATTATGATAGCAGTAGTGCGTTCTACTCTTGAATCACTCAGATCTTTGTACAATTATGAAAGCAGTAGTGCGTTATACTCTTGAATCACTCAGATCTGTGTACAATTATGATAGCAGTAGTGCGTTCTACTCTTGAATCACTCAGATCTATGTACAATTATGATAGCAGTAGTGCGTTCTACTCTTGAATCACTCAGATCTATGTACAATTATGATAGCAGTAGTGCGTTCTACTCTTGAATCACTCAGATCTATGTACAATTATGATAGCAGTAGTGCGTTCTACTCTTGAATCACTCAGATCTATGTACAATTATGAAAGCAGTAGTGCGTTATACTCTTGAATCACTCAGATCTGTGTACAATTATGATAGCAGTAGTGCGTTCTACTCTTGAATCACTCAGATCTGTGTACAATTATGATAGCAATAGTGCGTTCTACTCTTGAATCACTCAGATCTGTGTACAATTATGATAGTAGTAGTGCGTTCTACTCTTGAATCACTCAGATCTGTGTACAATTATGATAGCAGTAGTGCGTTCTACTCTTGAATCACTCAGATCTGTGTACAATTATGATAGCAGTAGTGCGTTATACTCTTGAATCACTCAGATCTGTGTACAATTATGATAGCAGTAGTGCGTTCTACTCTTGAATCACTCAGATCTGTGTACAATTATGATAGCAGTAGTGCGTTCTACTCTTGAATCACTCAGATCTGTGTACAATTATGATAGCAGTAGTGCGTTCTACTCTTGAATCACTCAGATCTATGTACAATTATGAAAGCAGTAGTGCGTTCTACTCTTGAATCACTCAGATCTGTGTACAATTATGATAGCAGTAGTGCGTTCTACTCTTGAATCACTCAGATCTGTGTACAATTATGATAGCAGTAGTGCGTTCTACTCTTGAATCACTCAGATCTGTGTACAATTATGATAGCAGTAGTGCGTTCTACCCTTGAATCACTCAGATCTGTGTACAATTATGATAGCAGTAGTGCGTTATACTCTTGAATCACTCAGATCTGTGTACAATTATGATAGCAGTAGTGCGTTATACTCTTGAATCACTCAGATCTGTGTACAATTATGATAGCAGTAGTGCGTTCTACTCTTGAATCACTCAGATCTGTGTACAATTATGATAGCAGTAGTGCGTTCTACTCTTGAATCACTCAGATCTATGTACAATTATGAAAGCAGTAGTGCGTTCTACTCTTGAATCACTCAGATCTGTGTACAATTATGATAGCAGTAGTGCGTTCTACTCTTGAATCACTCAGATCTGTGTACAATTATGATAGCAGTAGTGCGTTCTACTCTTGAATCACTCAGATCTGTGTACAATTATGATAGCAGTAGTGCGTTCTACTCTTGAATCACTCAGATCTGTGTACAATTATGATAGCAGTAGTGCGTTCTACTCTTGAATCACTCAGATCTGTGTACAATTATGATAGCAGTAGTGCGTTCTACTCTTGAATCACTCAGATCTGTGTACAATTATGATAGCAGTAGTGCGTTCTACTCTTGAATCACTCAGATCTGTGTACAATTATGATAGCAGTAGTGCGTTCTACTCTTGAATCACTCAGATCTGTGTACAATTATGATAGCAGTAGTGCGTTATACTCTTGAATCACTCAGATCTGTGTACAATTATGATAGCAGTAGTGCGTTCTACTCTTGAATCACTCAGATCTGTGTACAATTATGATAGCAGTAGTGCGTTCTACTCTTGAATCACTCAGATCTGTGTACAATTATGATAGCAGTAGTGAGTTCTACTCTTGAATCTCGCAGATCTTTGTATAATTTTTTATAGTAGTAGAATTTTGTCACTTATATGTGAGGACAATTTAAATGGTAGTATTATTCTTTTTTTTATTTGACAAAAAGAAAAGAACGTATTATTCATATCTGTTGCAAGTTTAACTGTTGAACCACATCAATATCTAAATTAATTGAAGTTTGCTAACATGATATATTGGCATACACTGTTTGAATTTTACTCTACTACTTGATGATAGACAGAGTGGCTCCTCTTTGCTTAACTCCTACACTAATATAAATGACAATTTTATTATTATTACAAAGCTTTTATCAACTTACTATGTTTGTCCGTGGAAAAGTGTGTACACGTTATGTCTCCCACACCCAATCTCGGATCAAGCTGAAATTTTTGCACAATAATTATTTTTAACCGATAGCTCAAGATTCAATTTTTAAAAAAAACAACAATTAGTTAATTAGGTATTGGAAATTAATAATTTTGTTTAATATCTCGATCAAGGGAAAGAAATTGTATTTCACGGATGTGGTGGTATAAATTGAATTAACCCAATGTATAATTTGTAGCTTTTTCTGTTTTAGAATTGGAAGGTAACAGTTGATAACAATAAAACATTCTATTTTTATAAGCGATTCGCTGGCTTAGTGGACAGTAAAATATAAAGTGTAATTGCATCAATTAGTCTGTAATTAAATTTTTGTAATAGATCTAGACCAACAATAATAAATCTGTGCGATTAGAAATGTGTTTACCAAATATTTTTGTTTAGCACTAGCTCATGATTTTAGCTTTCTCAAAATGATATGATCCTATTGTCTGGTCCAGTTGGGAAAATGGGGGGGGGGGGGGGGGGGGGGGGAGGTACTTATGACTAGAGAACACTGAATAGTTATATAGTGTTTGTTTTTATCTAGAGTGGCGTCCTGTAAAGGTTAATTCAGCTGATAACCCAACTTTTTACCAGACAGACAGAGTGAGTGGATATTTGTTTTAAAAAAATAAAATAGTCCTATGCCTCATAATGGATTTGCATGTTTTACTTGTTTAAGCATTCTTGATAATTGATTTTAAAACGGTTATTTGAAATTATACATCTTGTGTATGCGACGTTTTAGCGCAGCTGTTTTTGGTGCGAGAGGTTCAGATGATAATTTAAAAAAAAAACACTTCATAATAAAGTTTTGTTGTTTTTTCACCATACTATACCATATTGTACATAGTGTCCCCCTCCCTACCCATCGGACATTTATTTTTTTTTTGACTATTTCATGAACGCATATTGCGAACTATGCATGGCTGCCTGGTTCTCTCAAATGTGCCCCTCCATCCTTTTGGAAGTTTGGGTTAGAATGAAATAATCTTCAATTCTGAAGGGACATCCAAACCATAACAACTATGAAGGATCAGATTCCTTCAAGAGACCATAATAATGACTTGCTTCTTCCCCCCCCCCCCCCCCCCCCCCCCCCACTTTTCCTAAATTTTAGGCGAGATGACATCATTCGTTGTTCTCTTTTTTTTTCAACTTGAAGATACTAAACATTCAACAAATCATTTTTCAAATTTGCGCCATTACGACAATCGCGCCAAAAAAGCTGCGCCAATACGACAATAGCGCCAAAACGGCTGCGCTAATACGACTATCGCGCCAAAACACCCTGATTCAGAACAGACTAACTTGAATGGATGATGCCTGGTCGTGCGGTTTGCGCGCTGGACTATCGTTCGGCCTTATCCAGGGTTCCAACCCTCCGCGCTCCCATCCTACGTCGTCCTGAAGAAGGTTTGAACTAGGAAGTAAAGGAACATCCGAAACATTTTTTTTTTTACAAAAAGCCCATTTTTGATGTAGCCAAACTATTCCCCGAAGTGTGATTTGTGTGTTGTTTTTTTATATTATTACTGGCAAAGTTTTATACAAGTGTTTGTTGGTAGGCTAAAGACCCATTAAAAGTACAATTAAGCGTGAGTGTTTTTTAAATGATTTAAATATTGGCTACACTATACTATTAACGCCTTTATTGTAATTTTATATCCAAGAAGACATAGTTGTAACTGCTATAATCTTAAGAATTAAACATGGAGAATACTAACATCAAATATTTTGTGTGTGTGTTTGTGTCTTTTTTTTTTTTTTTTGTTAGTTTTTTTTATTTATTTTTTATCATAAAATTTAAATTTTACAGCTGTTGATCGCGTGATTGTACAGAAAAAGCTACAACATCGATCTTGGCAACTGTTGAGAAATGTTTTGACAAGTCTTTGGTTATTGTAACAATGAATTTGGTGGTTAAAACGTATTGGTATTTTTCAAAACTGTGTATATATTTGTTTGCGTGAAAAAGTCCTCTTTACGACATACACAAATAAATACTCCAAGGAGATATCATGAAAAGATTGAACTCACTTTAATAACATTCATCCATCCCAGTAGCGCTACAGCCCATGAAGGGCTCTTTTCTGTTTCATCACATCCCCCTCCATTCAGATCTCTCTTGAGCTTTTCGTCTCAATCCCCAAAATTGTTGTAGATCTAACTCTACATCGTCATTTCACCGTATTCGTGAATCTGCCTTGGGTCGCCCGCCTTTTCCTTTTTTGCCAGTATTCCATTTTTGTTACTCTATTTTTTTTTTTTTTTGCATTTTTTCAATTTCACCTGTTATTATTATAGCTTTTATATAGCGCTACTTTCATGCTTATAGCATGCTTTTGGTCCAATCTCATTTGTGGGCCAATGGGGGGGGGGGGGGGTATCTAGGAGTTGGTTTTCCGTGCTGCCTTTAATCGCTCAGGAAACACAACTCTGCCCGAGTCTGGCGTCGAGCCTCGAGCCCCCTCCTAGGTAGCCAAGCCAAGTTCAAGTACACTTGGCCTCTCGACCACGCTTCCCACTGTTTAGCCAAGTATATTCTTCATTTTTTTTTAATTCCCGTCTCTATAGGACATAGATGACACAAACGTAACTAAATTTCAATTACAGACTCATAAAAGAAGACTTACAATGAAGCTTGAAACTTTTTGACTGACCCCGCTTTTTATGTAGTAAAGTTCTCCGTTAAGACCTTGTGGTCTATAGGGCAGATGATGTAAAGGTCATCTGTTTCTGTGGCCTACGGTTAACGAGGGTGTCATATGGCCAGCACAATGAACAACCGCCTTAACGTTTCCCCAACTAATGTCAGATAGCCATTAGAGCTGGGTGGACTCCGAGCGTGACCTCCGTGACATATCACGTTGGCTGTGCTCAGAGGCGCCCTAAGATCCCGAAATAAAAAAAATCCCATTTTTCTCCAGGATTTGAACCCGGGACCCTCAGCCACCGCGCTTTATATGTAGGCCTACCTTCTTTAAAATTAGCTTCTTCAATATAGAAGCATGAGCAAGAACTCTATATTTAACTATCACGTAGCATTAAGCAGCTGGTGCACAAAGTTTATTTTTAGTTTTCTGCAACCATCTTCAAAGCGGAGTCATAGTTAATTGTCAAAGGGTTCTTGGAACAATCATGCTCTCTTGGGACAGAAGCGGGCAAGTTAATTCCATAAAAGGAGCGATGTTAATTAATAAAAAGTTTTGAATGGACTGAGAAAGTCAATTATAGTTACGAGCTTGAACGAAGATGGTAAACGGTAATTGTATTGTACAGTGTACATATTTTTAAAGTGATATAAATAATTCTATTCGCTATTCATTTTTTTAAATATTCGCGCAGGGTTAGTATTAATCAATGATAATAACCACAAGGAATTTTTTTCCATGTAACATTCGAAAGTAGACTATTTGGTAAATGTCATAATTACAACTATCTTATAAAACGTATATGAATAAGTCCATGCATGTAGGACTAGACCTATATATTTAATATATTTCTGTTAGTAGGCTATCCATCCATTCCAGTGACGAAACAACCCATGGAGGGTCCTGGATCCTCTTCTATTTAGATGCCTTTAAAAAAGGTCTATTGTATTAGCCATTTGGTTCGTCGAGTATGATTTCAAAGCCACGTTGAACTACGTAATTCAACTTAAATAATCCATTGTAAACGTAGGCGGAAAGTTTTGGACTACAGCGAGCTAGAGAGAGAATCTATCTCGCTGTCTATGGTTCCCAACGGGTAAACAATTTGTCACTTTTTTTTAGCCACTCCTATGATAGGGTATTCCCGATATTCTTTACGTGTAATTTAAAAACCAGAATGACAACACTCAAAAAGAAAACAAAATATAAGAAGTCATTGAAACAAAATATGATCCATTTCTGTTAAGACTTCTGGTCATACAGCCTGGCCGATAAATTTCCATGTAAGTTGATTAATTTTTATTGCGAATAAATTATTTCTATTAACAATCAATGGGTTATAGTTTAGTATAAAACAAACTAGTGTGGCTATCACGTTTAAAATAGTATAGGCCTACCTTATTATTAAAATTAGGTAACATAATTACTATTTTATATAACGAATAAATACAAGATACAAGACAATTCTCTATTATGATAAATACACCACACTCATGTAAAGCACATTCATTTTTTTTAAACGAAAAAAAACTTTTATTAATAATCACACAATGAGACCTACAATATATCTTCTTTCTTTTATGCAAGTATCTTCCTTATTACTTATGTTATTCCATTCTTTTATACTATTTTCTAAAGAAGAAGTCCATGCCATGGTGTTGGTTGTATGTTGACTTTAGGCCTCATTGGAGACTGGTATAAGTATTTAGACCTGCAAGCACTGTAGCCAGCCATTTTCTGTTAGGTATGATTGTCCACTATAAATAATCGCCTATGGTTCAAATCCTTAATAATTTAAAACTAACTTTAGGGTGTTTTACATTTTTAGAGATTTGAACGGTAGTCTGTTCTTAGAAGTAAATTCGTCGCTAGGGGTTGTTTTGATATGGTGGAATTAGCTAATAGTATCATTCTGGCATTTTTAAAAAGGCCGTTACGCAGAATTTAACTTTACAGGTACTAGTAATGTTGTTTTTTAATGAATACCTGGTGTTTTTTTAAATTAGATAAGGTTCTATGCTAAGTAATAGATTTTTTATGTAGTTTATAATCAGAATGCTTAGAGTTTAGACTATCGTTGCTGATAAAAGTAGATGTAACACTTTATGAATGGCGGGAGTAAAAAAGCAACAACAAGCCTCTATTATTTTAATGTAGATTATGTAATCTTTGTAAACCTAAAGAGACTTTAAACTGTTAAAGCTGTTTGTCTGTCTGTCTGGTAAAAAATGTGTACACGTTATTTCTGCGACACCCAATCTCGGATCAAGCTGAAATTTGGCACAATTATGTCTTTTACTTGACCAAACCAAAATAAATTTAAAAAATTAAACAATTAGTTAATTAATTATTGGTAATTTAATTGTTTTCTTTTAGTATTGAACAAGGGAAGAAATTATACTTGACTGATGTGATGGTAACATTTGAATTAGCCTCCTTTGTTTGTCGACGATTAAATGTTTTAACAAACAATAGATAATTATAAACCTTCTGTTTTCATTAGCGGCTCTCTGGATAGGAATTCGAATTCAGGTCGTTTAACTTTTTTTTAAAAATATAAATGTAGTTAAAAAGCGATATTTCACTCCCCCCTTCCCAAATGGTCCAGGCAAGTGATAGGATCATAGCTTGTTGAGAAAGCTAAAAGCATGAAATGTATATTTGGTAAACAAATTTCTAATCGCACAGATTTATTATCTTTAGTCTAGATCTGTAAAAAAAAAAATTATTATTTGACTGATCCAAACTAGTTGATACAACTCTGCTTAATATACGCTTTGTTTTATAAGAAGTATTTTTTATACACTTTTGTTGTTGTCAAGATATCTTTACGTATCAAAAGGAAGAAAAAAGTGAAAGGCTTTAGAATGATCCATCAAAATAATGAGCTAATAACTGTCCCGAAGTTATAAAAGCAGCTATTGACACAGAGAAACTTATTTTTAAGACAAAAAGAGAAGGAGAACGTCGAAAATAAGGATGAGAAATCAATGATATATTCAAACGATTATGTTACACTGTAAATAAAATTCTACTTTAGAAGATGACATAGGTCAGAAACGCAAAACAAGTTCTTAGAACCCTGAAGATTGAAAGGTGTTTAAAAATGAATTAAAGTGTGCAAAAAAATTAAAAATCCTTTTCAATAAGCAGAAGGCCAATTTTTTGTTAGTTTGACTAATTTGTTCCTACTTGAACAAAAAAATTAAACTGTTGTTGTTTTTCTTTCACATGACTCTAAATTAAAGGGGCGACAGTGGAGACACATCTACTGTTGTTGAAGAATACACTCTTGGATAATGCCAGTGGTAATTAAAGTCCAGCTTAACAAACAGTAATTTGATTTTTTTTCAATGTCTGTACATTGTCCAAAACAAAACTGTACTGCTTGATTAAATAAACTATTTGAAACTTAATCCCAAGTTTTCATGTCTTCATTGACTC